AATTATTGTTGTGTAATTAATAATAATTATTAATTAAATTTTAAACTCTGATAAGAATAGAAATCGTTGATAAGAAATTATGTTGTCAAAATGCCAAGTCCTGACGCATGCGCGGTAATCACTTGGAACGTTGGGATCTGTCCCGGCGCAGATCCAATCGTTTGATAATAGCCTAATAGCTTGATAGCCGTGATAATAATAAATAAGGTGACGTATCACCTAGATCCCCGTCCTACTAGATCCCCATGGTTATCTAAATCCCCTTTGGTAAACTAGATCCCCTGTGATAACTAGATCAAAAAATGTTATAATAATAACAAAAACAACGAAGTGATAAAATACTCAGCCGAGTCAGCTGGTCAGCAAGCTGCGCAGTCAGCGATAGAAAAGTATTTTAACTATAATTGTTCTATGACAAAACAGTGGTTGGCATACACAAAATGTACAAGGAATAAATGAGATTAAATATTTTTTTAAAGGTGAAATATAATAATAATGACAAAATGATCTATATAAAATAATTTTTGTCAAACGATAAAATGGCGGTCGTCCCCGTGCGAGTTTCACTGATAACAATGTAAATAATATAATAACTAATAACAGTACCTTATCTAGTTAGTATAGATATAGAAGTCTGTGCTATACATTGTCACATTGAATAAAAATAAAAATTAATGTCTTAATGCTGAATTACTTTGATTATTCATAATTGATTAAACGTACCCGCAGTTTTATTGAGTACCTATGATCTCGTCTATTAATTAACTAAAGTTATAATTTTTATTACGAACAACGTTAGTGACTGTGTTCGTGCCATTTTATAAGACGATTTTTTTTTCTTCGTATTAGCGATTCGTTTTACCTTTTCCATCATACACAAAAGTAAGCACATCATACTTTTAGTATTATTTTTTCCAATTGCCTATTATAAATGTGATGGATTGTTGATCAAAATAGGCATTGTGAATCCAATAAAGACTAAAGAGTATATTACCTACTGTTGGTATTATCAATTATTTATTAGAGTTATAATTGATCTGTTATTACAATATTTTCTTATTGTGGTGGATATGTTAGTTTGAACTAATGTGAAGAAGGTGGTCCTGCTACAATTTTTCTCTGGTACCTATTAATAATTACCCTATAGGACGCTTAACTGGAATCCATTTTAAGTTAAGTACTAATGCAAATGATAATGTTATGGATATACAAAATCTAAGACTTGCAGCAACTTTCAAAAAAATAAAAGTTTATGGTACTAGTTTACATGTTATACGTTAATTTACGTTAATTTAAAGCAATCTTGAATTTTCCTGAAAGTGCAACTCCAACCACATGATGTGCCTTTATTTCGAGACATAGGTAGTAATCTTAAATATGAATTATTTTTAATTTATTAGCAAAAAAGCTTAGAGTACCTATTTTATCACTAAACAATTTTCTTTTTTTTATGTTACCTATATTTTAATTATATTCCGAGTGTGTTATTGCTTTGATTTTTGTTGTATAAGATGTYGTTTTGATTTATTTCATTTTTATTAAACTTTCCCAGAAATTAAGTCATTTAAACTTATTATTAATGAAATTACATTTTGTACATTTGGAGAATAGATAATAATAACAAAAATAGTGTTAAAATTCAGTAGTTTTTAAATTAAAATGTATGTAATTATTTATGACATTAGAATAAAATTATACTACTTGGTACATTATAAGTATTTACAATTAAAAAGGTAATTAAATTATGATAAAAAGTTTGTTTGGACATCCACACTTGAGTCTCGTGTGTACAGAAGCTAGAACTTGTGTTGTATAAATTTAGGTTTATAAATTATGTCATAAACTTTTATAACCTTGATTATTTATACTTATACTAAGGTACTACATGACCTTTATTTAGACTATTTAGAATATTTGAGTTAAATTAGTTATGTAATTTTAAATAGTTAATTGGAAGATATTTTTTAGTTATAGTAATCTATAAGAAAAAACGCCTCTAAATAAAATTGTATTTTCATTTAATTTATATTTAACTGTAGCAAATAAATTGATTCCTAAAACTATTATGTTTATCTATATTTTTGTTTCAGGTTGAAATATCAAATAGAATGAGTTATAAAAAATAAAAATGATAATGGACTTAGAAATTGAAAAATATGTGAAGAAGCAAATCCAGCTCCAAAAACAAATTGAGGAGTTGTTAGTTGAAAAAAAAATGTTACAAGACCAAATTTGTGTGCTCAATGAATGTTTATCTTTAGAAAAAGTAAATCGGAAAATTTCTGATTTGGAGAATAAAAAAAAAATACTGATGTCGTTAGAAAGTATGGTTAATAATTTAAGAACTGATATTAAACCATTAGAGTATTTAAAACAAGTTTTGCATAGACAACTTATGGTTTCCACTCTTCCTAATAATGATTTAAATATTGAAGAGCAAAAATGTTCAGAAAGTTTATTATTAACATCTAATAGCAAGTGTGCCACTGAAACAATGGACTCTTTGAGTGACGTTAGCTCAGAAGAAAGTATCATGATTTTATCCGATTATGATGTAGTTTCAGATGAAGAACTTTTAAATAATTCAGAAAAACCTGTTGAAAACAAAGTTATGTATGATGAAGCACTACTGATGGCAGCTAGTGTGCATTTATCATTGGTTGATCATTTAATTCCAAATGTTGGTTCAATTGAATCTTTATTAAATAATAGTGACCAAGTAAAAGATAACAATTGTGTGCAATCGAATTCTAAAAGCTCTGTTCCGTTGATGAATACAAGTAGTAAAAGTGAACAGCTCTTAGACTTATATGATGTTGTAAACGAATTGGACCTTTTAAATTGCAATGGGAATGTTTGTATATTATTTTGTTTATTATATATAATATTTTTATATTTGTATATACATTTTTTAATATTCTATATAAATAAATTATTATTTTTTAATTTTTTAATTATTTAGTTTTTTCTTGTTTTATAGGAAAACATTGAAATTAAATGTGTAAAAAGACAAGCTGAACCAACACCTTATAATGCACATCTACCATGTTTATATGATGAGGAAATTGATAACAGTCGAATAAACAAAATATATAATGAGGAATGTAATAACGTGTCAAAATTATTGGTTAATGATTCATGGGTTAAGATCAGCTCCAATGAAATTTCTGATGAACATTGTGTTTTTCAATCATATACTGACTCACACAAAGTACTGCATAATTCTTTAATTTTTTAATGTTTTGTTTCTTATCTTTGAATAAGACTTCTTATATATATATATATATATATTTTTAGGACAACAAAGTGTCAAAAGTGAACAAATGTATAGATATTTATGATCAAAATATTAGTAAAATGAAGAATTTGGACTATAGCTGTAACAATGTTGATTTTAATTATAAAAATGAAATTCAAAAGCCAGGTTGTTCGGTTAACAATGAAGTGTACGCTAAATCATTATCTTTCACTGAAATCAATGCACAAGAACAATTCAATGAATTAGAAGAAAGTTTAAACACAGAAATTCAAGAACAGAATGATAATACAAACCAGTTTGTATTAAAAGACAATATTGAAATTAAAAATCTTGAAAATGTTTGCAATGATAATGATCATATTTATAAGAGAGAAACTTGTAATCTAGTCTTTCCAAATAATGTTAAAACATATGAAATAGAGACTATTTCATCATTATCATCGAGCACTGAAGATTGTAATGAATCAAACAAATGCAATGAACAAAGAATAAACACTGAGGTAGAAAGTCATGTTTTTAATGATCAACTATATAATCACCAATTTGAATCAAAACACATTAATGACATAAAGAGTTTTAAGAATATTTGCAATTCTGTTATTCATTATAATGAAAATGAAATTCTTAATCCAGTTTGTTCAAATAATAAAGTTAAAATTACATCTTCTTTGTTTGATACTGAAGAATTGAATAATTCTTTGGCCAATACTAATGATAAACCGTCATTTATTAATAATAACGAAAAGCCAATGCTGTTAAATCATACTGTAGACCTGAAGAATGAATTGTTAAATGGTATTCATCAATATGGTATTCAGGATCTAATGTCCTTGCAACAGCTATGTCTGTCYCATTATGTTAACGGACGTGATGTTATTTTTCACTCATACCCCTGTGTTGGGAAATCAATGGTGGGCTTCATCTCAGTGTTGCAAAGGATTAACACTAGTTTAAATGAATGTCAAGCTATTGTATTAGTTCCAACATTAGAATTGGCGCTGTCTGCTCAAAAGGTATTTAGTTWATTATTAAGGCCATGTACAGTTTTAAAATTAATAATTTCTCTTATTTTTAGACAATGAAATCAATTGGGAAATTTTTAAATGTTTCTACATGTATTGGTGGTACCAATGTTCCTCGTAAACTTTCACCAGTTCCTCATGTAGTGATCAGTACTTTACAAGGTTTGTGTGAAATGATCAATTGCAACTCACTATGTAAAGATTTTATAAAAATGCTTATAATTGACGATGCAGAAGAAGTATTTAAATGCAATGGATTTTTTAATAAGATTAGATATATTTTGTTATTCCTTAACAATAACCGACAACTTATTATTATGTCTACTTCAAAAATAGAGGAAATTTTAGATCAGTTTTCTGACTTGATGAAGAATCCTGAGTATATATTAGTACCAAATGAAAAACCTTCATTGAATGGTAATTATTGATCTTTATTTTTTATATTATTGATATCTAAAAATTTTAAATTATTAATAAAAGAATTAATTTATAGATATATTGCAGTATTGTGTTAATGTACCCGAAAAATGGAAATTTGATGCGTTTTGTGAACTCTACAAGGAGCTCAACTTAATAAATACTGTTGTTTACTGTAATTCATGGAGCAAGTCTCTAGGAATAGCAGAAAACATGCGTCTTAAAACATGTTTAGTATCGGCTGTAAATAATGATATGGATACTCATCAGCGGCATCAAATATTACATCAGTTTCAATCTGGTACTAGCAGAGTGTTAGTTACTGCTGGATTACAGAGAGGTGAGAATTTTTCAGATGTAGCTTGGGTTRTAAATTACGATCTTCCTAAAAGTTCTAAAGATTATGTGCGTAAAATTGTCAGTTTTTTTGGCCGCAAAGTGAAAGTAATTAATTTCATCACCACGAATGACAAAATAGCCCAAAAAGATATTGAGACTGAATTTAATATAAATATGCTTAATTTATCCCAGGATATAACTAATTTATGTTTATTTAATTTGTAATATTTAATATATTAATTGTCAAATATTTATTAAATATTGAATATTAATAATTATTTATAATATTTTGGGATTATTTTTAACTTAGTTATTATTATTTCTAATAACTGTATATWTTTTGTATTGTATGGTTATTTAAATGTTCTATTTGGTATAGCCCAATAAATTTGATAGATTGCTTAGGTATATGGTGAATATTTTATCTTTTTTTATTATTATGTATTATAATATATATATATATATATATTTTCACCAAATTTGTGAATATTCATTTTGTGTACTTTAATATTTTTAATACTCCGAGTGATTTGTTACTAACATTCCAAACTCTGAACTTTTACTGTATAATTGTATTTAAAAGTGAATCATTATGATTTATGAAATAAAATTTAAAACTAATTTTTTGTGTAGCATTAGTGTTAAAGTTATGATACTTAAATAAAAGTTTATTTCAATCAAATTATTTAGTTTGTTACATTTTACCTAAAAAACTTATTAAAATAATATTTATGTAATTGTTAACATAATAATTATTTGTGAATATAGTTATTTTATAAAGTAATTAGTATGTTAATGGAATATTGCTATATTTTTCTTTATACTTGAATAAGGTTTGGTTTTTATTAATAATTTATTTCTTGTACCCAGCAAACATAGCACGTATAATCTACGTGTATAATAAGGATAACTTTGGTGTATGCATATACGTATTTATTATTTGTATTATAATCGTATAATATACGTTGAATTAAGTTGATTTTACGTTGATGATAGGTATACATTTATTCGTACATTTTTCATTATAAAAATACGTTTACTCTACGTTGATCGTACGTTGATTATTAGTTGGTCGAACTTACGTCTAAGTTTGGGTTAAGTTTTAATTATAATATTAATAATTATATAATTATATATATATATATTAATTATTTTATTTCAAAAATGCATTAAAATATATTAACTCCAATACTAGACATTTTAATGAAATAGGAAAATATTTGATATTAATCCTTAGTTCCYAGTACTTATTCAATAAGAGGGTATTGTACATAGACACAAAATTGTTTCATTGTATAAAATTTAAATGGTATCAATAATATTTAAGTTAATCATTAAAACCAAATAAAATTGTTACCTAATATATTGTTATGTATATCATAAGAATGATAAAATATAATATATAATATATTAATAAAATGTTTGTAATTGTGAAAAATATTGTATTACCTATATTTATAAAATCAATTCACTTCAAAATTAAAAATAGCAATCAATGGTTGTTTAATACAAAACAAATATAACTACGGTCGCGGTTACAACAGTTGCAACAATTAGCATCTTCTCTGTAGTCAATTTAGCCATGGACAAGACCTTAGATCATCTACTATATGATCTAAGGACAAGACATAACTTAGGTATCATGGAAGATATTATATAATTTTAYGGAGTTAAAAGACTTAAAACCACGGACTAAGATAGTACTATCTTAGTCCGTGGTTAAAACACAGTTATCAATTTGAAATGGTTTTATAACAAACATTTTGGCGGGGCACCAATAATTATTTTATTAAATATTATGTTATTTGTTATTACTATATTACAATTTACAAATGTATGGTAATTTCAACTACTAGCTCAATGTCTCCTAAATTTTGTAGTTTTGTACTTCAACTGCTCAAGAACTTACCATAGATAAACAGTATAATTTAATAATTTTCTAATATTTAACTAAATTATGTTTTTTAATAATTAAATTTTATTTTATCAAATTATCTTTAGTATTTGAGAAACATTTGCCAAGTAAACCCGCTCTAGACTCCACATTAAAGTTGTTTCAAAATACAACAGTAAAATAATATATACCTCAAAAATAATACCTAATTATTTACATTGTGATTATATAAATTGTAAGGTCTAACATTTTTATTTTAGGAGAAGTCAACTTTGCAAATGAAAAATTGCCACCTCCTGCTGTTGAGTTAACTCCTTGTCTCCTTCATTTATAACTCCTCAACCAAGGCTTATTACTTTTTTTTTTTATACATTTATTTTTGTTATTTATGTTACTTTTAGGAAACGTAAGTACCATGTTGGAGATTTAAAAAGTGTAGATGACTTAGTAAGTCCAAATAGTTGACGGAAATTATTTATTGTTGCTAAAAAGTCCAATGAAAAACATGTATCTGCTATAGAACCTAAGGATACAAAATTATAGTTTACAGCAAAAAATTTAAAATTTTGAACAGCTGATTGATCATCTAAAATATAAAAAAAATTTATGAAAATTGCTTTTCATTTCTGAAGGTATGATTAAAAGTCTTGGTATTTATACTACAATGTGTATGGTAATTGGTAACTGGTAATTGTTTGTAATTTGTTGTGAATTAATAAATAAATAATAATTATTAGTTAGGTATTAAGAAATATAAGCTCTCTAGAAGTGAGTATTTGTAAATTTAAATTTAATTTTATAGTTTTAAATTCAACAGATTATGATTAAAAGCCTTAATCATTCTRAATGAATGTATTGACTGTACAAATGCAAGTATTTTTAAATTTTTATGTTCAACATCAGGTTTTTTAAATTTTATAGGTTGTTTCACTACATCTTTCAAGATATTAAAAGTAAGAATAAAAAAAATAAAAAAAAAGTTAAATTTATGTGGCAGGGGCATGTTATAATGTACAAATTGTCTGGCAGTGAAACGTTAAATTTTTAGTATTTATCTGCGCATCTTTGTTTTACTCTTTATGTATTTAGGTGATGTGAATTTGTAATGTCGGTGAATTTAACAATGAATAAAAAATTAGTTATATCAACAATTATTTCTTCCTTTTTAATAACTTTTATAAATCTCTTTATCTAGGAATGCCTTCTTTATGMAGAAACCGTTCTTCAAAAAAGAGTTAAGAAAATATTAAAACAATTTTAAATCCTATATTTAAAACATTGTTTGTATTAATTAAGAGCATTTATATGTCTATAACAAATAAGCCGCCTTTTTGTTTATTATTCCATGATATTACATTTTTTTACCTAAACTATGCTCTTTCTCTTTCTAACAATCTTATTTCAATAAACTTATGGTAGGGTGTAGGGGAGTAGCAGTCCATATCTTTTTATGTCTATGTCCGTAATAAAGAATTTGCATTGATGATATGTACCGGGTGATTCTTTTATCATTGAACACTCAATATTTCAAAAATTATTAATGTTTTTGAAAATATTATTTTACAWAGTTTCTAGTATGTTGTTGAAAAACTAACGTTTTTATTAAAAAATTATATTTTTAAATATTTTTTATCCTTTTAATTTTTTTACTTTTTTGAATGACAACAGTTTTAATTTCATATTCCAAAAATATTTTTCTAAGTATTTCGATTCATAAAAATCGAATTTAGGACGAGTAGTGTTAGCTTATGTTGGTAACGCTGTTGTCCAGTCATTGCGACTAGGGCATCAGTGCAATTAGGCAGTTGTTTTCGAGCGCCCACAACGGCTAGGTTCTGCTCYGTGCGTCCAGCCGTTGCTCGCGTTTATTGTGTTTTGTTTAAGTTTGTTGTTGTTATTAACAAAGTTGTATCGTTAAATACACCGTTTCATCCAGTAATTAAATCTTTTACTTTAATAAATCCTGACACGACTGTTATTTAACTAATAGTCATCCGTTCATACAAGGGTATACKTCAAGGTGGTCCAGCTTCGTGCTAACCTCTTGTTGTTTACGTATATTAAATATTTTTTTTTATTTAACAGTAGATTATGAGTTATAAGTATTTCAAGTTTAGACAAGCGGAGTAGTGGACAAACATTTTGCGGGTTAACCCCGTACCACTCCATTCTGCAAAATTACTTATAACTCTTAAACTACTCGTCCTAAAATTGATTTTTATGAATCAAAATACTTAGAAAAATATTCTGCTTTGGAATATGAAATTAAAACTATTGTTGTCAATCAAAAAAGTAAAAACTTACAAAATGATAAGGATAAAAAATATTTTAAAATAAATTGTTTTAATAAACGTTGGCTTTTGAACAACTTGAAACTATGTAAAAAATATTTTAAAAACATTAGTAATTTTTGAAATAATGAGTGTTCAATTATAAAAGAATCACCCGGTATATACATATATATATATACATATTATCTATGTATCCAGTATATATTATCCATAGATAATAAATCTTTATTATCTATGATATTATCCATAAGAATTTAGTATTTACCACGAACTAAGATAGTATCCACAATTTAAGATATCTAAATACGAGCGTCTAGAGCACGATTTAAGATATACAGGTTGCCCATCGACCTATACCGAAATGATTAAAGTATGAAGATGAGATTGACTCACAGCTGTGGAAAACGACGCTAGCGCCCCCTACTATCACAATTTAAATCTCGAACTAAT